GATGATGTCTTTAGGGTGATATTCACAGACTGCGGGGCATCTGGAGGAAATATTGGTCCACTGGATCAGAAGTACATTTCAGGATGGAACAAAAAGCCCCCTCTGGGTTAATTTATTTTATAAATGATCACCCTCTATGTCTGAAGATCTTTCTACCGTAAACAGAGGACTTGGCCTCCCAGCAGTACTTACAGTGCAGCGAGATCCTGTACGGCACAATGTCCTCATGCTGCAGGGCTGTATGGTTCACCACACACTGCACCTCTCTGCCATGCATGGACCTGGTGGGGGTCACCAGCAGGTAGCTCCTGACAGTCGTGGTGCCGTTGGGGTTCTCTGTCATGTTCTTCACAGTCTCAACCGGGCCATCCAGTTGGTCTATGCGCCATGACACCTCTGCTGCTGGCCGGCCATTGGCGGCAGTGCAGGTCACTAAGATGCCGCTCCCACTGCCGACCACAAGGGGCGCCGCTGGCATTACTGTCACTACAGGACGAACTGCCACACAGACTGAATTAATGTAACATCCAAAACAGCATGTTCTCCAAAGAGCTAAACCTGAGGTATTCCTACAGAAAGGCGTACCAAGAGAACTGGCAAAGGTAAGATCATAGTCGTGTTTCTGCTGACCTGTGCAGGACAAATACTGGACTATTAAAATGAAAAATAACCATAGGAGGAAAGTTCAGGTCCAGAAAGTACAAATCCAGACCAAAGCTTCAACCAACCAGTGGAGCAGAAAGAGTCACAGTCACAGACTACTCAACTGGTTGGTTGAAACAAAAACTTGGTCTGGATTTGCACTTGACCAAAGAAATTGGTACAGTGCTCTCTGGCATTGACTTTGTTTTTGCTTCAAACGCTCCACCATAATCCCAGTCCCCATGAAACCCTCCATCACTGGACTAAATGAGTACAGACCTGTCGTCCTGACATCCTTTGAACGTCTGGTGTTGGCCCACCTGTAGAACGTCACAGGACACTTGCTGGACCCCCAGCAGTTTGCCTACTGGGCAAACAGGTCAGTGGATGATGCAGTAAAAATAGGACTGCATTACATCCTGCAACACCTAGACCATCCAGGGACTTATGCAACGATCCTGTTTGTGGACTTCAGTTCGACATTCAACACCATTGTCTCAGAAATCCTCTCTTCCAACTCTCCCAGCTGAACGCCTATCCTGCCATCTGTCAGTGGATCACCAGCTTCCTGACTGGAAGGGAACAGGAAGTAAGGCTGCGAGAGAACACCTCAGATGTACAGACCATCAGCACTGGAGCTCCTCAGGGTTGTGTCCTATCCCCCCTTCTCTTCTCCCTCTACAGCAACGACCTCATCTCCATGGACCCAGCTGTGAAACTCCTAAAATTTGCAAATCTGGAACTGAACACGCTCAAGACTGTGGAGATGACAGTGGACTTTAGGAAACACCCCTCAACACTGGTCCCTCTCACCATACACAGCACCCTTGTGTCACCTGTGCAGACCTTCAAGTTCCTGGGAACTATCATTTCCCAAGACCTGAAGTGGGAAAGCAACATCTCCTCCATCCTCCAGAAGGCCCAGCAGAGGATGTACTTCCTGCGACAACTGAGGAAGTACGATCACCCACAGGAGCTGCAGATCCAGATCTACCCAGCAGTCACGAAGTCTGTCCTGTGCTCCTCCATCACAGTCTGGTTTGGAGCAGCAAACAAACAGCACAGCAACAGACTGCAATGTACAGTTAGGAGAGCAGAAGGAATCATTTGTGCCCCCTGCTCTCCCTCCAGGACTTGTTCACTTCTAGAACCAGGAAAAGGGCAGGAAAAATCCTCATTGACCCATTATACCCGGGACACCGTCTCTTTGAACTCCTACCCTCTGGCACACGATTCATAAGTCTACAGACCAGGACCAGTCTCTACCCTCAAGCCATCACCCTTACAAACATCTGACCTGCAACACCAACCTACACCTGTTTCCCTGCTACACCCTGCTCCACTCACAACACACCACTGAAGGGAATATGACATACCATTCACTTTGTACCTTGTATGTTGTTTACATTTTATGTATAATGTATAACTTTCTGTAAATAAGATGTCTTTTATATTTTATTTTATTTGTACTGCTTTGTTCTATCGTATTGTAATATACAGGAGAGACACCAACTGGCAGAAACAAGTTCCTTGTGGGTGCCACACACACATACTTGGAAAATAAACTTAGTTCTGAACTTTCCACCTCTGAAAATAAGACAAAGCAAGTATTAT